TGCTAACCCTAGTGAACCACTGCAGTTTTATTGCCCACCCCTGTTCTAAAGCAATTAAGTGCCACAGTCTGACTAAAACCAAAACTCAAGCACTTTTGAAAAAAAAAATCTCTTCCTCTCCTTGACATGTATATATTATCAGAGTTTATTTTAAAATTAACTAGTCTCTGAAGTGGTGACCAGTGGTACTGTGGAAGTCTGGATTCTAGTTAAAAAAATTTTATACAAACACAGCAAGGTACTAGAAACCAGGAGAAAGGAGGCAGTGATGATGGTGAATAGTAAACACTAAAAATGTCCCAGGTGCCTTGTAAAGCTTGTTCATTTATTTCCTAAACTTCAGGAATTTAACCACATGCTTGCTTTGCAGACCAGAAAGTGTTGGAGTTTGTGTGCCATTTTATAACTTAAACCAAATGGATATATCCAGCACTTCTGTTCGCAAAACAGTATGTGGTAAGCATACATCTCTACAGTCATTATCTGCTTTTTCATTTCTGCTTTGAAAAAGCAGAATGCTGATCTTCACATTCACCAAAGTGGAAAGGGAAATACTTTCTTAACTAGATTCTATAAACATTAGAAACAGATCACCTCCTCTCAATCAAAAGGTGAGCTTAGGAGCAACCTGGTCAGTGTTTCTAACACATGATGTATTATAGGAGAGTGAGAAAGGGGAAGGCACAATGCATAGGTTTTGTGTTTGCAATGTGGTGCTCATGCATGTGATATCCAACTTCTGTATTTAATATTTTGAAATAAATAAAATTCAATTGCAAGTTTATATCTGAACAGCTACTCGCCTACTCCATGACTAGGAATTGCAGGGTGGAGAAGGAGAAAGCTGGTGTTGCTATTTTACCTATGTTTGCAAAAAAAAGACAACCTGCGTTAATGGAGTGGTGTTTTTAGGATTCCTTAAGGTTAAAGCCTTCAGTTGGGGATGATATCTTGTAACCTCCTAAAGCTGCCAGAGTTTCAGAATGGGAATAACTTTGGGGAGGTTGTTTTTATTCCTAGCTTATCTTTTTTAAATAAGTCATATCCTGAATAACTAGATACAATTTTTTGTTCAGTTTTGCTTCATTAACAATTTATTGAGGCAAATCAACAGTGTCACAATGATAGGACTCATGTATGCTGCGGAGGAACATCAACAAAAAGAATCTCCTCCTCTCCTTGACATGTATATGAGCATAATTAACTCTTGATTCTGTCCGAAGAGAATATCATAACTTCTCTTGTGTGTGCTAAAATAAACAGAATACTGTATATTGTCAGTCATAAACTTTCTATGCATTATAATACTAAGGCACAAATCCTCGCACCATCATACAACCAGTTTTGTAAGATCACTAGAAACTGTGGCCACAATAGGCTAAAATTACTACTTTATTTGGTATAATATGTATTCCAGGTGATCATAGACAATACTTATTTCTCCCTCTCCCCCATTTAATTTATATCTTCTTCCACACAAACTCTAACTTCCCCACATTCATGGCATAGTAACATTTTTGATCTATCATCTCAAACGTATATGGCTTAAGGGGAGAAGAAAGAACAGTTTGTCTTTGGTTCATGCTATTATAAAGAAAATTTAGAATACATTCACAAATTCTTTTTTTAATACAGTCTTACAAAGATAAAATCTGCAGTGCTTGAAGTTATTGCCTTAGTAGCTATTGCTAAACTAATTGGACTGAACTGTAGCCCAGCTGAGTATTTGCTGTTTAACTTCATCGTGTAGCCGCAAAGATGCATGTGCATTCTGTCTTTTGCATTGTCTTCTGTGTTTGAGATTCCAAATTGATTGGATATGTATATTAATATCTGTTTTGGGACCGGTTCTGTTCAATATCTTCATCAACTATTTAAATATCAACATAAAGAGTACTCTTATTAAGTTTGCAGATGATACCAAGCTGGGAGGGGTTGCAACTGCTTTGGAGGATAAGGTCATAATTCAAAATGATCTGGACAAATTGGAGAAATGGTCTGAAGTAAACAGGATGAAGTTTAATAAGGACAAATGCAAAGTGCTCCACTTAGGAAGGAACAATCAATTTCACACATACAGAATGGGAAGCGACTAGGAAGGAGTACAGCAGAAAGGGATCTAGGGGTTATAGTGGACCACAAATTAAATATTAGTCAACAATGTGACGCTGTTGCAAAAAAAGCAAACATAATTCTAGGATGCATTAACAGGTGTGTTGTGAGCAAAACATGAGAAGTCATTCTTCTGCTCTACTCTGCGCTGATTAGGTCTCAGTTGGAGTATTGTGTCCAATTCTGGACACCACATTTCAAGAAAGATGTGGAGAAATTGCGGACGGTCCAGAAAAGAGCAATAAGAATGATTAAAGATCTAGAGAACTTGACCTATGAAGGAAGACTGAAAGAATTAGGCTTGTTTAGTTTGGAAAAGAGAAGATTGAGAGGCAACATGATAGCAGTTTTCAGGGATCTAAAAGGGTGTCACAAGGAAAAAATGTTCTTCCTGGCCTCTGAGGATAGAACAAGAAGCACTGAGCTTAAGCTGCAACAAGGGAGATTTAGGCTGGACATTAGGATAAAGTTCCTAACTGTCAGGGTGGTTAAACACTGGAATAAATTGCCTAGGGAGGTTGTGAAATCTCCATTTCTGGAGATATTTAAGAGTAGGTTAGATAAATGTTATCAAGGATGGTTTAGACAGTAATGGGTCCTGCCATGAGGGCATGGGACTGGACTCAATGACCTCTCGAGGTCCCTTCCAGTCATAGTATTCTATGATTCTGTGATTAAACCACTGTTCTTTAGCAGCCATGTTTGAATGACATGACATTCTAGTGTGCTTTCCAGATCAGTGAGAAGATGTCACCATCTGCTTTGCAACTTAGGATGCCTCATGACCCTGAGCCCCTCATGAACAGCCAACAGCAGGCCAGACACTCCCTGGGTGTCTGTGTAGAGCTAGAGGTTGCCAGAATACTCCAGTCACATTCTGTCCCCTGTCCACACACTGTTTCCACTGTTCATGGTATTCTGCACTGTCTGACCCTTCCTGGGCTGTTCAAATATTTAGGTCCATTGCCCCTCTAAGGGGATCAATAACCAGTATTCGCTATTTTAAATGGAGTTACCTACCCAGTTCAATTTGAATGCGAGAATCAGATTGTATTGGGTTAAATAATAAAACAAGTTTATTTAACTACCAATCAAGAGAGAGAGATTTTGTGAATACAAGTATAAAGGGAGAAGGGGAGGGTGCTTCAATCATGATTTCAGCTTATGTTCATAGCTTTACATACAATGTTGCTACAGCCATTTCACGATGATATTTTGGACCAGCAAGTTTTTGAATGATACCTTTGCAAAATTATCCAGGGTACAATTGCAACTGACAAACAGCTGATGAATTGTCCTGACAATTCTTCAACCTGGGATGCCTTTTTGCTTTGTTACGAGCGCTACTACTTCTGGTCTGCTTATGTACAGCCTGTAGTATGTAGTAAGTTACTCCCAGCTATGTAGCATGAGTGCTCCTAGCCACTCATGAATTACACTACAGAGCAACACATTCCCAGTTCCAGGTTTTCTCCCAGAAATATATGTCTTCTATTGCCCGGCCCTTTTCTTGATACAGAAGCTTATTATACAAACTCTGTCATTTTATTAATAGGAAATGATACTCAAATCTTATCGCAAATGGAGTTTCCCAAACACACTGATATTATTTTAATTGCAGAAAGATAGATTATAAGTGGCTAAAGTAATGAGGCATAAAAGTCAGAATTGATTACAAGAAAATAAAAGTAAAACAGCTAATGGCTAGCTTAACAACTAGCGTGAATTCATAGCAAAGGTATTTGTCTCCATAAGTTCCAACAGTTTTACTGTCTGAAACTTAGGATTGTTTGTTCTTCAAGTGCTATTGATGCCCTGGGTAGAAAGATAGGGAGAGATGACTTTGGACATCTCTGCTTTCATATATATCTTTCTCTTCTTTGGGAATCATCTCCAGCTAAGCTTCAAGTTCAGCTAAAGGAGGCAGAAAGTCTGTGTGGATGGAACTGTGAGAAGTATTGTATTTGTCAAGTTGTAGGGTGGTGTGGTTTGTTTGGGGTGTTTTTTGTGAACACTTTCTTTCCTGCCAAAGGCAGCTACTTAACCAAGTGATAGGCCATTTGATCTTATTGACACCTGGCTGAGGCATTGGCTAAACTTTTGTCTTTGGAGAACCAGACTGTGACCGCTTTCCATATTTGGAATACGTCTTAGTAACATCATACAATAGTATGTTATAGTTTTACATACAATGTTGCCATGTATTTTACCAGAACAATAATGAACAGCAAATTATGAGTTTTCAAATGATGCCTCATAAGGCATATTTTATGCAAGATTTATCATAGTCTTATAAAAGAGTGTACAAATTATGTCTTGTAAGATTGTGACGATTATTACAGTGGTGTGTAGGGGATAAATATAGAGGTGCATTCAGTCACAAACATACTAGGGGATGCAATTACTGCTTCTGTCCCAATTTTAGTCCAGGCAAATCATGTAGGCTGCATGTTGAGTAGCCCTGCTGTAAGAGATTCCTCAAGAAAGCACCAAGTGGTGGGGTGAATAGCTTGATACATAATAACTTTGGCACTCAGTGCAAATTGAGTTTTAGTTAACTGACTGAGGCATATTTAGTCTAGAAATCTGAAAGATAACAATAAACAAGTCAGACAGAATGATGTTCCCACAAATCAGAGAAACCTTCATCAACAGAAGAGTTTTGTTCTCCATTGGTACAAAGAATGAAAGGTGGAAGGAGAGAAAAATAGCAATTTTTTTTTAAGTGAGGACTGAAAAGGTGAAGAATAAAGCAACTCAAGTAACTGGACTCTGCACCATATTCTGAAAAAAGCCAGCAAAAGCCTCAATATTCTAGGGCCTATTCTGTTTTTATTCGTGTTCTTATGTCATGTCCATCATCACAGAATCCAAATATCCTCAGTTGTACAGAGGTAAAGCAATTTGCCTAAGATTACACGGTGGAAGAGCTAGCAAAAAGAATCGATTGTCTCATTGTCCTATTCAGTAGACCATGCTGCCTCCCTGTGGGCTAACTTTTCACTTCTGGGTGTTATGCTTTCAAGGGAAGAAGATCCCAGGTTTATTCTCCTCCTTCTGATACTATTCATGATTAAAAAATCAACTCCCATTAGCTACAACTGGCAACCTTAGCGTAAGAAAGGGCCATGAATGAAATAAAATCCAATTCTTAACTTAAAAAACATGCAGATGTTTTATAAAAAATGTGTTTGTTTTTCAGGTTTCTAAAATTATATATGGTCTCTAAGACTTCACCTTATCCCAGGGGCCACTTCTGGGCCAGCCCGAAAGGGGTGGGACCTAATCTGGAAGGGGCGGGGCCAGAATGCTTCTGGGCTTCCCCATCCCCAGACCATAATTGGTCTGGGGGTGAGGGAGCCCTTTTATTCCCCCCTTCCCACTAGGCACCCATGCCACTGGCAGGGCAGGAAGAGGCTTCACACACTCTCCCACTCCTACACCCTGATTGGCATGAGGGGTGGGGGAGCACGGGAAGCCTCCTCCCACCCTGTGAGGAGCGTGTGGTACTTTGAAGTGCTGCACACTCCTCGCAGGGCCAGGACGGGGCAAAGGAAGCTTTGCGCAGCTCCCCCACTCCCAGGCCATGATTGGCTTGGGGGCAGGGGCAGGAGGAGCACACGAGGCCTCCTCCCACCCTACCTCCACCCTGTGAGGCGCATGCCGCACTTCAAAGTCCCGTGTGCTGCTTGCAGGGCGGGAGGAGACATCATGCGCTCCCCCGCTCCGAAGTCCTAATTGGCCTGTGGGTAGTGGAGCTGTGCGAAGCTTCCTTCAACCTGTTCCCACTCTGCATGAGTGTACGACACTGAAGTGCCATGCGCTGCTCGTAGGGCGTGGGGGAAGGCGGAGGAAACTTTGCATACGCCTCCTGCCCCCAGGCCAATCAGGTCTTGGGGGTGGGAGAGCACGTAATGTCCCTTCCCGCCCTGCGAGTAGCGCGCGACGCTTCAAAGCACTGCGTGCTGCTCACAGGGTGAGAGGAAGCTTTGTATGCTCTCCCGCCCCCAGGTCCTAATTGGCCTGAGGGTAGGGGAGTGGCAGGGCCTCCACAGGCCGGATCAACCTGCTTGGGCTGACTCCGGCCCACAGAGGCCCTTTTGCCCACTCCTGCCTTATGCCAATATCCTTGCCTCCCAGCAGAGACAGGCAGAGTAAAGGACAGTTTCCCCCACCGTTTCCAATTTTCTGCTTTTGTTCTTTATCTCCTTGTGTTCTCTACCTGCATTTATCAAATGCAGAAAAATCCCTAAGTCAACATGTTCTTCTTTGGCCCCTTTCCTTACCAGTTTCACATCTCCAAAATTCCCTTATTACTAAAGTGGAGACTTTTCTGGAGCCCATCCATCTGTCAGCAAGATCTTCTAAAAGGCAGCCTGCTATGGCTCATATCCTGATTGGTTCAGTCTAGGGCCAGAGTCTAGCAACTCATTTACCACTGCAATTTCGTTGATTAGAAGCCCTAGGGAAATTTTGCTTCAAAGAGAGTATTCACTAAAATGGTTAAACTGTAGCACAACTTGAAAATGAATCCAGTTTATATTTTGCAAACTGAGCATGACTAATTTTGTGATGGACAAATTAACAAGAACTGAGACATTAGTACAAAAAGAATGAACACTTTAATTAATATTGGAAAATCTTGTTTTCTTTTTTCTAGATTGTTGGACCGTCTGATGGCTCTAGTTACATTATAGATTACTATGGAGCAAGGCTTACTAGGCTGAGTATTACCAATGGGACATTCAGAAAAACACAGACCTATCCTTAAGCCTGGCAGGAAGTGTCGCATACACACAGGTGCATTATGATTGATTGGATTCAATAGTCCATGAAATTCCTGATAGCTGATTTATGGTCATAACATGTCATGGATACTATGTAACTGCCTATTAAATGTTGTATATCAAAAGCAAGTACAAATATTAGAGAAATGTCATCCAACACTAGACTTTGCATCAGAGATGCTCATTTTCCAAGTCTCTTCTTTGCGATTGTTCCATTTTTGTGAGCACGTAGATCATGACTTCTAGGCGGTGCTACTTGTGAGTTATGCATATATTCATCATTTGCACTGCCAATGTTTTATCTTTCAGTGTGAGTTAGTAACAGCTAATGGGATAAAAATGACACTGGTTTCAGGCAAAGCAACTGGTGAGAAATTTTGGCACCACAGAAGTCAATGGGAGTTTTCATCGACTTTAGTACGTCTCGGATATCACTCTTGGTGTATCTGAAACCTGCTAAGAAATGGACATATTTATTTTTTGAAAAGTCAAAAAAAAGACTTGAGTTGGAGTTACAAAAGATTGGTCCAAAATTTGTGAGAATTTATATCTTTTTCAGTCTCGTTAATGTAAAGAGGTTTTCCGTTAAGGAAAAGAACACACTTAGTAAGGTTGCCTGATTTGGTTCACAGTTTAATGATGATGATCAGCATCTGTCTGGGGGCAGCTATAGAAAACTGTAGAACATCCTCATTTAACAAGCACAGTAGACATTATACATCAAAGTTAGAGTAAAACCTGTTTACTTGGCCAATATTATCTTTAATCTTAAAAACCTCAATCTTGGCAACTTTCATGATCACATATTAACTTTATTATTGTTTTAGCCATCATCTGTGCTCCATCTTTTTCAGAACAGTTCTGACCAAACATATGTACCTATGTTTTAATGAAACAGAGTACGTCAGAAATACAGATTCTTTATACTATTTAATAGAAGATGCAATAAAATATAGGTATGTGGATTTATCTCTCTAACCTACACAATAAAGTCTTTAGCGCTCTTATTTGGCCCTTGTTCAGAAAGGCATCTTTTATTTTAATGAAGTATATACCTTTGTCATCTCACAGCATGCTTTGTTACCAAATTTCCATGTGACATTCAAGATTTACCAAAAATAGGTCAGAAATTTTTTTACTAAAAAGAGGTCATGAAAGATATAGTCAGAAGCTTCAGTGTTGATATGATAATCAATATTTTCATACGGTTTAACTAATTTAAATATTCTGTTAATCATTTAAAAGATTTTAAATAAGCTTATTGCGGAAAATTTGAACCAGAAATCTGCATTACATTATCTTCACGGTAACCTGTTTAATAAAATTGTGGATTTTTTCTTTCTATACAATTTTCAAAATTATTGTAGTATTTCCTTATCAGTATTTTATTAAACTATTCATGAATTTTCAAAAAAAACACTATTTCATAGAAAATGTATGTTATTTCAGCTATTCCATGTCCTAAGTCTAACTTAAAGATAAGTATAAAAACCACCATGCATAAACATCCTTACTTTTAAGAAATTGGAGTGTTACCAGTATATGCCACAGATAAGAAGAGTAAACAGTGAATGAAATCAGCTTAAAATTAATATATATTGAGTACATTTAAGGAGGGCACATTTCAAGAAGAACAGACATTTGGTATGTTCAGACTCTTTGCTGCCTCTGGCAAACAGAGGCTAGGGACACTTAGCCAGGATGGGCATGAATATAGCTGTTGATTAACCTATCCTTCATGAATTTATCTAGTTCTTTTGTGAACTGTTACCTATTGACAGGGCTCGCCGAACTGCAGTGAGCCCCACTCACCAGCCATGCTGTCTGGTGATCTGCGCATGCGCAGATTGCCCAAACCCAGCTCTTCCGGGCTGCAGTCTACTCACCACGGGCAAGTAGGTTGCATTATTTGTCCAGTCCTGCCTATTGATTTCATTGGGTGGCTCCTACTTCTTGTTTTATGAGAAGTAAATAACACTTACTTATTTTCCCTGGGGCCATTAGCTGGAGAATCCTCCACAACTCTGTGAGCATGGGTGTATACTTGGCGCAGTTCACCCCTTTTCCTGACATTTGCGCCTTATGTGGTGTGAGGGAAACCCTGGCACACATCCAAACTCAAGTGCAGGTTACAGCCCCTCTTTCGACTCCTCCAGAACTTCTCGTTGAGGTTCTCGCTGCACTTCTCCCCTCACCTATTAAGTTATGCTTACACAAAGTTGTGGGACCTCCTCGTCACCCTCCTCCTGGCTATGGCCAAGATGGCAATTTACAAGACCAGGGAGCAGAGGTTGGCTGAAGTAGGGGCCTGTGACTGTGGGGCTTATTTCCACTCCTGTTCACGCATCCAAGCGGAGTTCCACTGGTTGGTGTCCGCTGGCTCTCTTGATGCCTTCGAGGGGCAGTAGGCGCTGTCTGGGGCTCTCTGCTCATTATCACCATCTGGTTCCCTTGTTTTAGCCCTTTGACCTCCACACCCATCCCTGCTTTTTTCTTAATTTGTCCCCCATAATCATTTGATGTTATGGGTTCTGTGGATCCTCCCCATAGGCTGGGGAGAGGTCCTTTTAGATGTGGCTTATGCCTGCCCTCCTCCCAAACTCCAATAGGACTACCGGTACTTTTTTGTAGCCTTCTGAACTGACCCTGTCACAATACCCTCTCCAGCATTGCCAGCACATTAATTATTTTAACCATCTTGTGTGTCTCAGCATATGCATCCTCATGTGCAGGGCTCACCGAACCGCGGCAAGCCCCGCTCGTCAGCCGCGCTGTCCGGCGATCTGCGCATGTGCAGATCGTTCTGTGCATGCGCAGATTGCCAGAACCCGGCTCTTCTGGGTTACAATCTACTCGCCATGGACGAGTAGATTGTATAATTTGTCGAGCCCTGCTTATGTCATTAGACTTTAGCTGTGTAGTCAATGCCAGTAATTTTGGAGAGGCTAAACTAAGCAGGCACATAATGACAGGATTTCTAAAGAAGTAATGTCTACATGTTCATTCTAGAAGAGTGAGACACTGAATGTTTACCATAAAATCTGTAAAAATATCTTTGCAAGACGTTAATCCAGACCACTCCAGGAGTCTGCATGGTGGATAACTAAGTGTTATCATGATTTTCTGAATGGCTTAATGCTGTGGCATCCTCTCATAAGTCAAGATGCTCACGCTCTCTAGTTATGAGGGATCACACTATTTTACAACAACCTCAAAGGATTGGAGCTCTTCCCTCAATAGTTGGTTTGCCTCTCTATAGAGAAAGGCAATGAAAATAATAGAATCATAGAAGATTAGGGTTGGAAGAGACCTCAGGAGGCCATCTAATCCAGCCCCCTTCTCAAAGAAATAACAAACCCAAATAAATCATTCCAGCCAGGGCTTTGTCAAGCCTGATCTTAAAACCTCTAAGGTTGGAGATTCCACCACGTAGCTAGGTAATCCATTCCAGTGCTTCACCACCCTCCTAGTGAAATAGCTTTTCCTAATATCCATCATAAACACACACACACTCCCCTCCTTCCCCCTCCACTAAAACTGGAGACCATTCCTTCTTGTTCCATCAACTGCCACAACTGAGAACAGCCTAGTTCCATCCTCTTTGGAGCCCCACTTCAGGTAGCTGAAGGCTGTTAATCCTAATCATATATGTAGATATTTTCCCGTGCTGACTCAATCACCAACACCATAGTATCTAAACTGCTTCACGGACATTCATAAATTTATCTTCTCAGCATCCTTGTGAGATGAAATATTACTGTTGTTTTACAAATAGGGAACTTAGGGGCAGAAAGTGACTACTTTGCTGAAGTTGTGGCAGAGCCAGGAATTAAACCCATATCATCTTAATGCCAATCAGACCACAGGACCATGCATTCTGCATTAACATTGTCATTATTTCATTCTCTTTATCTTACAGTTTTTTTAATCTATAACATGGACCACTGCAATATTGAAGTATAGTGTAGTACTTGATGAAAGGACTCACTTTGGGGCATGTCGTATTGATTTGTACAGTAAGAAGGAAATTAGAGAGGGCAGCTGTATATAAATATATAATGTATTTTTTTTTAAATAGGAAATACATTGTGGTGTGGTTATATGGGTATGTATGTGTGTAGGACATGGATCCATTAGTTATGCACGTCAGCCTCAATACTCATCATTGTAATATGCACATACCATGTTTTACAGAAAAGCTATTTAAAAAACTGTTTTAGAGAGCAAAATACTCTGACTACTATTGGGCTGCAGTGATTTAAATATAAGGAAAATAGCTAGTGTGTCCTGATACTGGTTTGTTGACTCTGCTGCTTTTTTCTCACACCACTTACTACATGGTGATATCACTTCTCTGCTTTGATTTCTGTACCCAATAAAACCTTAAAATGCTAGGTTTATTGTTTCCAAAGGTGTATTGTGGTGGCCTGTCAATAAAACTTTTCAAATCTACAGGAAGATCTTTGTGTTTGAAATGTTCTATCAGAGTTTTTGAAAATATCTGTTGATCTCATTAACTATTGTTTTGTTTGTTCTTCAAGAATATATTGGGTACCCAGCTCTGTATATTCAGTCTTCTCACATGTTCCATCTCTTAATATTTGTTTGAGTTTCATTTATCCCATTTCTAAATTCACTGCTCATCCTGTTGCTTCCACTGCAATTTCTATCACTATTTTGGGAACATTATAGTTGGGCACTTAAACACTCAGTTGGGGGAATGTCAAAGATAAGGTTGCACAATTGATTATATTTCTCTAATATGCTGTAATACGGTTCTTTAACATTAGATACATGTGTACAGGCTTGTGAGTTCTTACAATCTCTCATTGTTGCAAAGAGCCATCATATATTTATACGTACCTCTGGACTTAGGCTTTTTACACTAGTTCTTTTCTCTCACTATGGGCATGTATCTTAATCAGCACTCAGTCATGTACTAGATATGTTCTTTTCAACCATCAGTTGCAGGAGGCAGTAAACTACAAAAGTAACATAGGCCCTATTTCATCAAAGCAAGCGTGAGCCTTTAATGTTTTGTTAGATGAGATTTTAATCAGGAACTGCTTCTGTTCTCCCTGCCCCCACCCAAAGCAAGTCTTTATTGGACTGTGATGCTTTCTAGTCCTACCAAACGCTGTCAGAATTGATATCTTTCTTTGTAATATTCTCCAAATGTTTAATCCGATATTAGAAGACCAAAAAGGTCTCTAATACTTCAAGCGCAGTTGTCCTGGTATTTTTTCCACTTTAAGGCATAGTTCCAACTATGTGCTATGTAATGCCCTGTTCATTCATGTGTCAGTCACCAAAAATAGCTCTCTTGTGGACCTCATTCCACAACTTCTGAAGGATTCTAGAGAAATTGGACTTCTTCAAAACTATATTAATTAGTATTTAGAGATCACCTGCCATCTAATCCAGGAGTCCTTTATATGAATGACATCAGGAGAACTGAGGCTGGACTAGATGACTGCCGCAGGCCTTGCTGTAGGTTCTAGACCTGAAAAATAAGGTACAGCGGAAGTTTGAGAGCATGATTTTTCTTTTTTACTTTCTGCTTCCTGTAGATGGAAGCAAACCCCAGAGCTGAATTGCTAGGTCTGCTGAAGCTGTTCTTTATTACACAGGCGAAGAGTTAGCACTCATGTTCTTTCTCGCACAACAAAGATTAACAGAAGAGTGAGTATGTGGTGAATTTGTGCCAGAACAGGACGCTGTTACCATTGTGTTGTCTCTGTGGACCTCAGGCTGTAACAAAAGGAAACGGAAAGATAAAAACAAATGTATTCTAAACCTGTTTACACAGTGTGAAAGGAAAACCTGGTTCCACAAATTCTATGAACAAGAAATTAAAATATATTGCACAACACCTCTCCATTTTAAAAGACAAAACTAGCATATTCCCAGCTGCTTCTAGGATTTTTGATCTTTAGCCCTGAACCTAATTAGATCTTAAACATGCCCATGTTCCATTTTGATAGTTTTGCCTTTGTAGGTTTGAACGGTCTGTTCTCAAGATTGCAGTGCTCTTCAACCTGTGAGAAAAGTAGCTAGCAGCCTCTGCAGATGCATATGACACAGCAGGTCTGTAGCTGGTATAAGAATTTTAAAGATCAGTTTCCATTACTATAATTGCTGTATAAATCCTCTCTTTAAGAGGATTATAACAGGCCTGTTTTTTAACCTTGCCTTGAGCTGAAACTTGGACCCAGTTTTGATATGTGGCACACTACGTTTTTTTCTCTCTCCTCCTCCTCTTTGAAACAGCTTAAGTTAGTTAATTTTTTTCCTGGACTCTGTTCTGAATTTAGAAAGTTTAAATTGGTGGTTTCACTCTGTCACTGTACTTGGTCTTGACCCAAAGTCAAGACCAAGTGGGTCCACATTTTGGTTAAATCTAGAAAGTACTATTTTTCCCTTTTGGAAGCTGTAACTTTTTCCTATCTTATCCACCTGTTTTCCAATAGTGAGCAGTCCATAGAATAAAATTGGAATAAAATAGGATAATCTTTTTTCATCATTTGGATGAAATGTAGTATAAACAAAGCTCTCAGCTGAATCAGTAGTAAATTCGTTTCAGTAATGTATACTCCCAGAGAATTGCATGAGATTGGAGTTTGGAGCTCTTACTGAAGCATGTAGATTGGGGAACCACAGCTCTGAAAAGCCCTACATACATTAGGGTGGTTATAGACCAGATGGCAGCTGTATCTTGTATTTATCAAACATATTATTTTAAGTACCAAAACACACAATGGTTATTTTGCTTTGGGCATGTTTTATGGCAAACATCTTATCTAACTTGATGGATGAAGCAGGGATTGAAATGGTTAATATTTTCTGTTCTCTTTAGAGACCTCTTTCAAATCCCTTTCTGTAAGGAAGATGGACTCAGAACATGTAATAGGAAGCTACTGTCTGCTAAGGACTTAACTCGTGGCAACATCTGTGTGATTGACTGTCTCTGCATAGTATGAAGAGAGTAGAACTACCTCACTGTATGGATTGCATGGTAGTAGCAGAAGCTGGAGAAAAGAGGAATACATATTTTTTAGGATTGTCATTTCATTATCTCATCCATTGTAGTCCTATTAAGAGAATGATGTGCACTTTTCAGGTATTTTGTTAAATAAGCATAAACAATGAACTTCATGCTAACAGATACAATTCCTGGTATCTAAGACAGTATCTTGAATTTAAAAGCTTGTGGTAATGTGTGTATCTGGGAGCTAAGGGGGCTGGGATAAAACGTGATTGACTTGACATTCGTGGTCTTTCTCCCAGCTCTGTTGCAAAAGTAGGAACAGAATCAGAATAAAAAAATATTTATTTTACAGCTGTACCAAGTTACAGCACACTCTCTCTGTCCTCTCTCCCACTTGCATCAAGTACATCCTGTACTTTTGGCAACATGTTGACTGGATATTTAAAAGCTGTGAACTGTTCTGAAAGTTTCACATACAGGGTTATGAGCCATGTGTGTTTGATCAAAATTCAATTACTGCACTGTACCATGCTTGGAAACCTATCATCCCAGGTTATGAAGTATGACGGAATAGGATAATCTAATTGGTTCAGTATGGGAGCAGTATCAACCAAGCTTGTTATGATAAATAGCTTCCTGTGTTAAAGGTTCTCTAGAGCTTAAGTATCTTGGCTCACCTCCTTCCACAAAATAAGAATATTGTTCCCTGAGAACAGTTACATCACTGTCTCTCTTCTACAATTGGGATTAAGGATTTGTTGAAGTTTTCATTTTGCTGCTTCTTGAAAAGATAAACAATGAATATCTGCCCCATTTCCCACCTCCCTGCTTCTACCTCATCCCTTCGCTACTCCCCTCCTAGCCAAGGCCAGATCATCTTGCAGTCACTGTGGTTGTTGAATCTTTTTTACTACTGTTTGAGACAATCCCAAAGAGGATCTTAAACTTGCCATGGGCTTGAGTTTGGGAGCTGTATGGTTTTGTATTTGGGGAGTGGAATTAAATGGTGAAGCATATTAGTATTTCCAAACATCTAATAAAACTGCCTGGTCACAAAGAATTGTAAATATCTATGGAAATGTTGCTATCCATTTGGAATTTTTATTTGAGGTAGTAGTTCCATTGTGCAAGTATTGAAATAAGAGCAGAGATGGGCTAATATTTTAAGCTGGGATTTGTGATTACTAAATGTGTCCCTAAGACAATGAGCTCAGTCTCATGAGAAGGTACTAGCTCCATGGTTTTAGGAGGCCCGTCTTTGGCAATAACTGATTTTCTGTGATCTTGATGTCATGGTAATAGACTGTGGCAAGAGATAGAACATGGAAAAATGGATCTTTATGCTCCCTGGCCATATATGTGTTATCATGCATAAGGTGATGATTTGAGTGAGGTTACAAATGCTCATACTCTCAAATCCTCTTAGGACAAAAATGATTATGTAGTTGCTATTTGAGCTAAGGCAGAATATGGTCCGATCTTATTAAACACTTTGAATATTAGTGGGACTACACCCATGAACAAAGTTGTTCATATGCATAAGTGTTGGTGGGATCAGATCCTATGTGAATGAGTCTTGGTGTTTTCCCCAAGACTGCTTAAAGCTGAATTAAGCATGTATGGTGATTAATGCCCATTTACCATCTCTGTCTTATCCCATTGCAGTTTGATTTTAAAACTTGATCTCATTTTAGTTCACCATTTAAATACCGTTTGCCCTTCTGCTGGCAAATGAACATAACACTGAAGGCTTAGTTTCCAGAATGTACAAGATCTACTATAAATAATGGCATTTAATTCTAAAAAATCCAACAACTTTAGTTATCAAAAAATAGGCTGATGGCTAAATCCAGCAATACAAAATTAGGGAGTGCAGAATTCACCACAAAAAACAAATATTCATGTCCATATGAGATAAATATACCTTTGCTATGCTGCTTACCACTTTGAAACACAGATTTGATCAGTCCTTTATTTTATAGTGTTTTCATTGTTTCTTTAATAATGCATTTAATCTCAAAAACTGAGATTCAGTGCAATTCTCTCCAAATATCTCAGATGAGAGTAATTCATTTTATCTTCTAAAGTTCTAATAAGAAATGCTCACAGAGACAGTAGCTTTATCTTCAAAAATAGAGTGTGACTGTAGGCACTTATGCTAATCTCTTTTTTGGCAAATCAGCTTTTTTGTATTGGATCTCGCTTGATTGAATAGCACTGGAGCTGCCAGAGTAAATGCTATTATCAATGTACAGTAATTAAGGAAATAGTCCTTGTCACTCTAACAGTGTCCAAGCTGTGCCTACTGTAACAAAGTTAATGGTAAAGAAATCTCTTTAAAGAGAAAGCTACTGGAGTGTGGTTACTTTTGACAGGCGGTTAAACAATGCCGTGTCAAATTATGGGTTATGAAAAAATTTATAAAATAGGCCAATTGAAACCCAAATGAATGCTGGACTCTAATACATAATTACACAAGAAATTAAAGAGTTATCCTACTGACTTAAAGCCAGTTGATTGACTCTGAATCCCTATCCCCCCCCAAAAAAGGGAGACTCTTCTGACATTCAAAAACCTCAAGACCTTTGCAGCCCAGGAAAAGCTTTTATAAAAGGTGAACCAGGCAACAGAGTCAATACATATGGGCCCTATCTAATCAACTTGGGGAGTGAATTTCCGTATAGAGGACTCCCAATTAACAACTTGCCCCAAATTATCTCCCATTTCACCTGATCACAGTTGTGATCAAACATGGAGATTGGCAGAACAATGATGACACAAGTCTTTTAGAACCTCCTAGATTAAAACCATGGAAAAATAATCATTCTCATTATGAGCAATGCTATTTAGTAAGTGGGTAAACCCTATTCTGCACTACCTGAAGTTTCCAAATGATCAGTAGAGCTCCTTGCAATAAGATAGTATGGAGGTCACAAAGGCATTAATAAGTACAGTGAAGTGTGCATTTGTGAAGAAAGGTTATGATCTCTTCCCAGGCTGAAATACATGCAGAAAATGTAAGGTGTAACCAAGTTACAGGACGGGAAAATGTTAATTTTAATCAAGAAGTGCATTGGAAACATAGTCCAGGGTATAAATACTGTTTTTTTTAAAAAACAACTCCTCACCCCAAGTCTGCAAAGTAGTTATACAAATATTAATGGGAAAGAAGAACAAGTCATAACAATGCACTAGAGTCCAAAGCGTTGCTTCTAGTACAGTACATCCATTCTTGTAAGAAGCATTAGAGTAGTCACAGCTCATTTATGTCTTTTCTTTTTCTCACACGTACCTGTGTAATGTGTGTATGCTAATGTATTTGTTACGTGTTATTAAAAGAACTGACAGTTTTGTGTGTGGCTTCATAGTCCTGTGGAATTTTAACATTCTCTGCAGTGCACCATTTTAATGCATTGACATTCTGAACACAGGGCATGATAGCCTTTCCATTAAAAAATGCAATGAAGAATTTTCTAAATAAAATAACTGAGCCATTGTAGTTCATGTGGTACTTTTAAAAAACAAAATTGACAGAAGTATGTTGTGTGGATTCAACACTCATTTTGTTTATCTCTGACTAGAAAAAGACTTAGGCTCCAATCCAGCAAAGCACACGCTAAAGTTAAGCACATATCTTAGTGATTTCCTTGACTACAATAGACTACTACACTTAAGTGCTTTGCTGGATCGTGGTCTGTGTATTCAGGTCACTGATGTTCTGTGCATTGTTCCAAAATATTTTTAATGGCCTTATCTTGACATTTAAAACTGTGTATTTGAATCTGAGGAGGAGGGTACTGGTCAGTATTTAAAAAATTATAGCTCATGCAGGGAGCTTTTTTAATTCAGGCCTGCCAAATTCAAAGGCAGATACTTTCTCATTCTCTAGCTCCTGGGTACACATTCTACTTTGCTGTTTCAAGGACAAAGGAAATTTCTGTCCAATTAGATGAGGCTAAGATTGTGACATAACTTTTTCCTTAAATAAAAAAGTTGGAATTTTTTTTTGACACAGTTGTTAAGTGTTATTAAAATAATGAATACACCATAATGCTAAGCATACACATAAATCATGTTACAAGCTGTGCTACTTTTGTCACTAAAGTTGCTATAAGACTACATGGAATTCCAGCTCTATAGAAGTTACTTATCCAAATTGCATTGTAAAGATCTTACTTTAAAAATGATTATATATCCACTTTTAAAGTAGATATATTAGAAAGTGTGTGTGTGTGTGTGTGTGTGTCTGTCTGTCTGTCTGTCTGTCTGTTTGTTTGTTTGTTTGTTTGTTTGTTTGTTTGTTTGTTTGTTTGTTTGTTTGTTTGTTTGTTTGTTTGTTTGTTTGTTTGTTTGTTTGTTTGTTCAGGAACTCCTCCTAAACAGTAAGAGCTAGGACTACCAGCTTCTTCTTATCATAACTTAAAGCAAAGTAAGTATTTGGTTGTGCCAGGAAAATAAGATGTGGCTGGAATAGGATTGCATCTCATGAAACCATGCAGAAAAGAAACAATCACCAGGCAGGTGAAAAGGATTGGCTGGGAGCTCAACTTCCTTCATCTGGGAATGCTCTATTCCCAAGCCTTCCCTTCCCCAGGTGCCCTTGGGGGGAGGCTGAAGTGCACCTCCCCCAATTCATACTGGAACATTGCTGGTTGTTCCCCTTAATCAGAGAGCAAGGGAAAAGTTCACAGTTTGCATTCCTCGCTCTGGGAATTATAGGGGGCAGCCAAACCTGAATCTGCCCCAGCCAAGGGACATGTACCCCTCCCCCAGCTGTGCCTGCTGGAGCTGCAGCACCATAGAGAAGTGCTTCTCATCTGGCCCCAAGCTGCTGTGGTGAGATGGCTAGAGTAATCCTTACTCCCTGGGGTAGCCTGCATCCTGAACCTCTCATCCCAGTGTGTATCCCAGAGCAATGATTTAAAATGAAGACAAACAAAAGAAGTAATTAAGGACCTGAGCAGTGTTGTAATTCTTTCTAGCGTGTGTATGTATATATCTAAGTCTAAACCAATTAAATATGAAGCCAAACTATGCTATATTTGTAAACTAGAAGATTTACCTAGAGTTGCTCAGGTCCTTAACTCAAATAAGTGCATGGCCACTGCAGCTGGTATAGCTGGGGTAGAGATACATGTCCCCCAGCGGGGGTACACATAAATGGACAAATTCTCTGAAATATATAATAGCTGTTTCTTTATCCACCCCTGCCCCCTGCTAGCCCAATGGTATTATAGCTATCCCAGTCCCCATCTCTGGCCCCTTGCTTCCCCACTGTGGTTATTCTGCTGTATTATAACATCATCCTACAGGGCCCCTCTCTTTTCATTGTATGAGAAACAATCAAATTCTCTGCATGTTTCATTATTTTGGCACAACTCAAACCCTGATCTTGCTTTAAGTTACAAGAGGAAGCTGCATACCAAATGTGGTGGTCCTTGCTTTTACTGTTTAGGAGGAGTTCTTGAACAAAACGGACTCTCAGGTGGACAGACAAGACAGACAGACATTTCTAAAATATATGGTAAGATTTTATATCTTTATAAAGTTTACCATGGATGTTGCCTATGTCTTAAAAAATATCTCAAGCATGGTGATTCTACGCAATAGTAAGTGAGAGGAATAGACTGTTTCACACATATGACTGCCAAGTCTCCCCTCCCCGGTAGCGATTTATGTCTCTGCCAGCTGCTCTGGGTGCCCAAACTAACTTGCCTGCACTGCATGACCACTTTTGCTTGTTTCCCATCAGAAGTCATTTTTCTGCAGTGAAGCAAAGAAATTTGCAGGGCCCATGTACAGTGATGCAAAATTCCTCCAGGAGTATTTATTACAGTCTTAAAAAGACCAGAAGGGACCTCAAGAGGTTATGAAGTCCATTCCCCAGACCACCACCTAACCTCAAGATGATTCTTACCAACAACCACAGGACATACCACACTAATACCAACCCTGGTACCTTCCCTTGCAACAAACCCCATTGCCAGCGTTGTCCACGTATTCACTCTGCTGATACCTTTATTGGACCTAACCAAGTGAGTTATAAGATCAAGAACACATATTCCTGCTCATCCAGAAATATAATTTATGCTATCGTGCTGAAAGTGTCCGTCTGCTATGTACATTGGACAAACGTCTCAGACACTTCGCCAAAGAATCAATGCCTACAAAACAGATATTAGACAGGATCACAAAGAAAAAACAGTTTCTTCCCATTTCAACCAGAAAGGACATTGTCTCAATGACTTGATTACCTGCATCCTGCTTCAAAGACCTTTTAAGACTACACTTGAAAGAGAATCCTCTGAACTGTCATTCATGCTTAAATTCGACACTATACACCTAAGTTTAAACAAAGACATTAATTATCTTACCCATTACAAAGATAGCTTCCCCAATTATCACCTCTAATATCATTAACTCACAGACATTTACCTCCCTCCCCCCCCCCATCTGCCTTCTGTTCTGAAATTTGATTTGTCCTTTTCATATGTGTTCATTTTTTTAATTGTATCCTTTGGTATACATGGTTGTGACAATTTTCTTCCACTATTTGATTTGAGGAAGTGGGTCTGGCCCATGAAAGCTCATTACCTAATAAACCATCTTGTTAGTCTTTAAAGTGCTACATAGTCCTGTTTTTTGTTTCAGCTACACCAGACTAACACGGCTACATTTCTACCACTATTCCCCAGTTAGTGAGACATGACCAAATATGCCTGAATCATCCCTGGCAAGTGTTTGTCGAATCTGTTCTTAAAAAGCCTCCAATGATCAGGATTCTACAACCTCCCATGGTAACCTATTCCAGTACCGATATCAGGCTGTCCCTCGGTTTTCTTTTCTCAAGACTTAACATGCCCCATTTTTGTAACGTGCCTCATGAATCAGATCTTTTTTTCTAATCTTTTATTGCTCTCCTCTGGACTCTCCTGTGTGTCCATGTCCTTCATAAAGTGGAGTGCCCAAAATGAGACTACCTAAGTTGAAGCCCCCTCAGTGGTAAGTAGAATGGGACAATTACCTCTGTGTCTTACATATGATGCTCCTGTTAATACAACCTAGAGTATTAGTCTTATTTGTAACTGCATTCATTGTTAGCTCTTACTCAATTTGTAATCCACTATAATCTAGATCCTTTTCTGCCTAGCCAGGGATTCCCCATTTTGTATTTGTACACTTGATTTTTTCCTTCAGAAATGTAGTAGGGAATGTTAGATAACATTTATTTTAGCAATTGTGTAGCCACAAAAAAAATATTGGCTATACGGTCACAATAATATTCCCAGAGGGTGGGGCTGGCAGCCAGTGTACTCTCACTCTGGGGAGCCCCCTGCCATCCCACACTGCAGCCTCTGTATTTAGAGGCAACAGCACAGGCTGTGAGTTGGAGCCAGTCTGTGAGGGAGCTAGTTTAATATTAGCTCCCCACACAGACTGGCTCTTGCCTGCTGCACCACGCTGCTGTCTCTGATACAAAGGCAGCAGTGCGGGGCAGCAGCAGCCCCTCTCCAGGGGGGACCCCCGCTCCCCGCAGACAGAGGCTGGTCCAGTATCCCATAGAGCAGCCTTGATCCCTTGGTCTACAGTGAGTCCAGACCAGCTGCAGACAGGAGCTGTTCCATGGGATTCCATCTGCTGCCCCCTCCCCCATGCTGCTGCCTTTGATACATCAGCTTTTAAGCCAGCTCTCCCTGAGCACCAGATTCCACCTCCCCCTTATCCCTCCTCCTGGTGCCTCTATGGGAGGAAGCAAAGGGAGGCTGGCAGCTCTGCATAGCCAGCACCCTACACATATCAGCTCCTCCCTGTCTCCCCCTTCATACTGCAGGGGGAGAGCAGGCATCTCTGTGAGCCAATATGAATGGGGAGCTGGCTTGAACACCGGCTTCTGTTGTGTACCAGCTCCTGTCTGCCCCCCTTACTCTGCATGAGAGTGGGGGACAGGTAACTTTGCGGGATCTGGTGCTTGAACACTAACTCTTGCCTGCCCCCTATACTGCCTCCTCTGTGCGAGGCAGAAGTTGGGGCAGATGGCTCCAGGGGACTCAACATACACGGGGAGCTGACTTTTAAACCAGCTCTCATTGGACACCAGCTCCTGTTTCCCTCCCTTATTGTTCCCCACCTAGTCTGGATTATCCAATAATCTAGGCTTATCGGTTAATTATTTAAATGACTATACACGAACACCCCTATAATGTAATATACTTTCCACTTACCTTTATGTAATTTTTTCTTGTTGATTTCAGACCAATTCTCCAATTTTGTCTTTTAAATTCTACCCCCATTCCCTAAAGTGCTAGCATCCCTTCCCAGTTTAGTGTCATCTACACATTTTATAAGCCTATGAACTATTCCAATATACAAGTCATTAATGAAAATGTTGACTAGTACCAGACTAAGGTCAGAGCCCTGCAGGACCCCACTAGATATGTGCTACCAGTTTGACAGCAAACAATTGATAACTGCTCTCCCTGTTTTTTCAACTAGTTCTGAGCACACTTTATAGTAATTTCATCTAGATCATATTACTTTTGCTCATGAGAATATAGTGACTCCTTGCTTAATGTCATAGTAATGTTCCTGAAAATATTACTTTAAGCAAAATGATGCTAAGCAAATCCAATTTCCCCATAAGAACTAATGTAAATGGGTGTTTGTGTGTTAGGTTCCAGGAAATTTTTTTCACCAGACAAAAGACATATACAATATAAGTTTTAAATAATTTTAAACCATTTAATTCTGCACTCACCAATGATGAAGCTTGGTTGAGGCAGGGACACAGCGAAGTTAGGGCATGGAGGGTTGCCCCATTCCATCTGGTGCTACAGCTTGTCCCATGCTGCCTGCATGATGCTCCTGCAGGAAAGCAGGGTTGGGGACTTGCCTACCCCCCTAGCTGGAATGTCAAGTGGCCAGAGTGGTTGCACAGGCAAATAGGCAAGGTGAGCCAAACAATCTTAGAACATTGCACGACTTCAGACAAATATGTTCTCTAATAGATCAG